AGCCAGCTAGCTACCTGTACACCCACCCCCCCCTCCCACCCCCAGCTAGCTAGCCACCCCCACAGCTAGCTAGCTAGCTAGCTAGCTAGCTAGCTAGCTGGACCCACCTGGGGAGTCTGGGGCACCTGGGGCACCTTGAGGGGCCGCGTGAGTTGGCGCAGCTGCGCCAAAGAGTGGACGGCGGCGCCGAGGCCGCCGTGGACGCAGAAAATGCGGCCGTCGACGAGCGCGGCCAGCGGCAGCCACTCGAAGGCCGCGTTGAAGGACTGCGAACACGATCCCACACGATCCCACACGATCCCACACGATCCCACACGATCCCACACGATCCCACACGATCCCACACGATCCCACGCGATCCCACACGATCCCACACGATCCCACACGATCACAGCACGATCCCAGACGATCCCAGACGATCCCAGACGATCCCAGCACGATCCGACTCGATCCCACACGATCCCACACGATCCCACACGATCCCACACGATCCCACACGATCCCACTCGATCCCAGCGAGCCAACTCGATCCCACAGCCGCCACACACGCTCCCCACAAACAAAACACGACCCCACACGATCCCGGGATCGAGATCGACCCCACACGACCCCACACGATCCCACACGATCCCACACGATCCCAGAAGATCCCAGACGATCCCATACGATCCCACACGACCCCACACGACCCCACACGATCCCACACGATCCCAGACGATCCCAGACGATCCCAGACGATCCCAGAAGACAGTACCTGCCAGCAAGAGTTGGCGGCCAGCGGGTCTTCGCGGAGGCGCCGCCGGCACTCCGCCTGAAAGCCGTAAAGGGCGTTTATTGCGGGGTCTTCGTGGTTGCCCCGCAGCAGGTGCACCTGCTGCGGGTACTTCACCTGCAAAACCCTAAACCCTAAACCCTAAACCCTAAACCCTAAACCCTAAACCCTAACCCGGAGCCCGGAGACTAGGGCAAGCGGGCGCGGCGGGCGGCAACGAGCTCCGAGCAAGGCGCCTTCGGCCGGAAACGCGCGCGGAAAGAGACCCCCAAACCCTAAACCCTAAACCCTAAACCCTAAACCCTAAACCCTAAACCCTAAACCCTACTTTGAGGGCGAAAAGGAGGCAAATGATCTCCAAAGAGTGACTCCCCCGGTCCACATAATCCCCCAAGAAAAGATAATCCGTAGAGTCAATGTCCCCGCAGGGGCGGGGGGGGGCCCCCGGGGCCCCGGGGGCCCCCAGGGGGCCCCTGCTGCTGCTGTGGTACTCTTCTGCTTCTTCTTCGGCCACAGGCATTTTATAAAGATGAAATAAACGCATTAAGTCGTAGTACTGGCCGTGGATGTCCCCGTATACTGCAGCCAAACCCTAAACCCTAAACCCTAAACCCTAAACCCTAAACCCTAGTAACTGGCCGTACGGGAGTGACGTGAGGCAGCAACACACTGCTGCAGTGGAGACAGCAGCAGCCATGTGACGGAACTCTGAGGTCTTAGCTCGCGTCTCGACAAGCAATTAGGGTTTAGGGTTTAGGGTTTAGGGTTGAGGGTTTGGGGCCCACTCTTTATGGGAGCGCGCAGGTCGAGGACTATGTCCTCTTCCTTGAAAATATCCATCACCTGCAAACGCAAACCCTAAACCCTAAACCCTAAACCACCTAAACCCTAAACTCCAAGCCCAGCCGGGAAACCTGGCCAGCCCACGCACTGACAACAGAAGCAGCAACTCCGACACAATCACCAGCAGCACCAGCAGCAGCAGCAGCAGCAGCAGCAGCAGCAGCAGCAGCAGCAGCAGCAGCAGCAGCAGCAGCAGCAGCA